AATAAAACATATTTCGCATTCCGAAATAAATAAAACGGAAATAAGGCAAGTTCTTTCTGTGCGGCCCGGTACCAAATGCCCTGCGGACGGGTACCGGTCCGCGGCCCGGCGGTTGGGGACCCCTGATCTAGAGCACGGTAGGCACTAAGCACATCCATTGGTAGACTTCTATCCATGTATTAAGTCATAAGTGCAATATTCGGACTAAATTGTTTTTATTAGAATAATTTCACACAAAATGGGGGAAAAAATGTTTATCCTCTCCTTTAAAGTCTTAAGTGGAGCTGGGGCGATCTGCATGTTACAACTGGCCCATGACACACTTGAGCTTTGTCATGGATTTCAAGTACAATCACAAATCTCAGGATAAAGCAATGTTGCCATGATTTGAAGCTAGCCTCAACTGCCACAGAATCATGCATTTTGGTGTTTATTTCCAGTTTATGCACCATAGGTGTATGTATGAGATGTCTGAATGGGAGAATCTGCATAGATGAAAAGTGACACGTCCAGTCGCATAAAAGAGGACCTGCACACAAATGGGAGAACATGGCTCATAGTGCCTTGTAACTGACCTGGCTATCAGATACAGTCTGTGTCCTTATACTTGGCACCACTTCTAGCTTTGCGTTGTTGGGCAGGTTGGCAAACCTCCACTGCTGCGTCAGGTCGAGAACAGTCCTTTGAAACCTGCCCAAAAAAGGCCCAGTGGTGTCCATAAAATTGTATTTTAAAAGCATACCCATTAACTAACTGAAGATGAATTATGGGAAAGTCAAAAGTTCACTCGTCATGTGACCTAACTGTGAATGGGAAATATCAACATTAGATTTGTTGGCATCACCGTGAAAGATGATGCTGAAAGTTATATAGTGGACCGTCAGACCCTTGAGTAACAACTTCATGAAGGCTGCTTTACACATTTTACTCTTCTCGATGGTACACCAATATCACAACGTGTTAACTTGGATTCAGTGCAGAATGCCAACCCTCAATCAGCAATTTACGTAATTACTTACTTCAAACCGTGATTATCGGGATTGAATCCATGCTTCTTGCAGACCTCCTCCAACACCTGCACAAAAGACAACTAAAACTGAACTTACACAATATTATGCGATCAAAGCGTAGCAAAACAAAACCCAGGAACACACAATCTGAGCTGTCACTAGCTATAGCTACAGTTAGCCAAACTAGCTAAGGGCAACATTGTTAGTCCCAATACTGATAACAAACCGTCCCATAAAGGAATCGTGAAATGTTGTTTAAATGAATATTACCTGTAATAACGGTGTATTTGGGGACACTTTAACTGTCTGCCTTCTTCCATTCGGAGTTAGGACCGTCACGGATGTACCACTAGCTGCCATTGCGTTTTGTGACGTCACACAGTTTATTTGAACAACCTTTATTGATAGCAAAACACGTACTGGTCGGTCTCGAAAATAAATTATTATCGTAACTTATAAAGTGTGGCATGAAATGGAAATAAAAACAACATTAAAATATAATGCTCTATATTGTCTCAGAGGAGTTAATTTAAATGGGCAAGGATCTGGAATCATAAGTCTTTTGTTTTGCCCTTTTTTGTTTGTTGTTGATGATTCTTTCTAATTCAATCATTTGTGTGTCTTTTTTCCACTGCGCATGCTGTTTCGACTACACTGTTTTATACATTATGCATTGTTAATGTTAGGATTCAGTACATTGTTTGTCACTTACTGATCAGAGCCCTTAGACAATAGGCTCCTGCGTTCATGGAGCATTTAGTACAATTTTATTGTCCTGATAGACCATTTTCACTCAATGTCCTTCCCACTAGATTAGAAACTAAAGGTGCCACAGTAGAGCCAGATTGAGGAATGTACTTTCTTTTGAGTTTCCAATTAAAAAAAGAAAAAAAAAGTGAAAACACATTTTAGGCAACGACCCCAGCAAGACTTATTCTTTTTCGCCCTTTTTTTGTTCTTGTGTTTACTGTAAAATGTTGATTCCCATCCTGTATTCTATATGTATGCCTTTAAATGTAAGAGGACTGTTTCAGTCCTCTGAGTGAAAATTGCTGTATATAGAGAGAGAGAGAGAGAGAGAGAGAGAGAGAGAGAGAGAGAGAGAGAGAGAGAGAGATTGTATGAAGTGACTGAAGTCAGACAAATTCAGAATACTTGGGACACTGGTCAGGATGCTATCAAATACATTTCCATATCAATAATCGGTGCTGTTATCTATTTTATAGCAAAACAGTATGCTAACTTGAAAAAAAATGAATATGGGTAAAATGAGGTACCAGTACAAAGTATATGCTTGTACTGTATATACCTGTACATATCCACTTTGTTCTTCAGATCTACAGAATATACAGTGATTTTTCATGCAAATTATATTTTTAACAGCTATTGTGGTGGTACTACTTTTCCAGTATTTTGCTTTTGAAAAAGCAGAAAGTTATGCAAACTATTACAAATATTAGCTGCAGACAGTATGTTGTTGCATGTGTTTTCCAATTCTGTCACCCAATCTTGGACTCAGAACTTTCAGTGTGGCGTTATGTTCTCACGAATCTGGCAATTGTCCATGGGTGTGAATGTTTGTTTGGCCCCTGTTTTCCCTGTGATTGATTACAAGTACACGACAATGTGTATAAAATATAATTTAATTTGGATGCATATAACTAAAGAATTATAACTCTAAAAACATACAAATGACAAAAGATAATCCAGTTGCCTACATCACACACACTTGTAAAATTATACCATAACGTAAAAAAAGAGCACTGTATATTTTTCACACAAGAGCTAAAATAATAATAGTAAAAACAGTTCACAGTACATATGAAAGTGCACCTACAAGTTTTTTTTTCAAACAAATTAATAAATCAGTTACCTGATCACTTATACAGTCCATTACTTTGACTTACTAGCATGTGAGTTCAGGTATTTTACCTATCCTGAAAGCTTTGTTTCAATTTCCTTTTCCCCAGAGAGCCTGTCCTCATCAAATAAGCCGATGTTCAGTTTAACAAATGCTTTACACTTTTGAATTTTGGTCAGATTCCACTACCCTTGTCAAGTGATTTTTCCAGTTAAAAGGCCTTCAGGTTTGAAGGAAGCTTGCCTGCTTGATTACAGTAGTTGGTGTCTCAGTAGGCAGAACCCTAGAAAAAAAAATGTTTGAGATGAGCACGGCATACGTCCTTTTACAATGTACTGTCAATGTAATCTCTCAATGAAGTATCTTTTGGGCTGGATTTTACACCGCATGGTCCAACTGATAAAATTTTGATTGTTCTTATCCTGTGGCCCAATTCAGATATGGGAATGGGAAGAGCATGTTATCATCTCATATTGGAAAACGGTCTCGTTCAAATGTGTATATTAATCAGATATGAATTGGATATCCACCAATATGCTAGAAATATACATATGAATGGACTTAAAAAAAATAAAAATTAAAACTGATATAGGCACAACATTGGAACTGAGCTCTTTTAACTCCAGACTTCTGCACCTGGCTTGTGAGCCTCCGAGTGGGGGTTCGTCTCTGCTCATGGATGGACTGCAGGCGAGTGATGAGAAACTTCTTGTCTTCTCCTTCCTGAGTAGAGGAGAGATACACAGAAGGATGTTTGGAAATATAGTCCTAAAGAACATTTCGTAAGGTATTATATGCAACTAAAAAAACAACGCTCCCCTTTACAGTTTTTGAACATATGTAAAGAGGAGCGTTGTTTTTTTTTATTATTTGGGATACTGGTATGTACTGGTACATATTTATTAATAACCTATTTGTGTATTCAGATGACAACATGATTTTTAATAAGTGATAGAGAATACGGGGTAGGACGAGATACGTTTTTCTATTTCTTTCTACTCCCTTTGAGCATATAAACTGTATTGAACCAAGATATGGTTTGATTTTTGTTTTTATGTCCTTCATGTTTTTCATACGTTCACCAAAAGTTAACATACATTCTCGATCTGCTCTTGTAGTAGGCCGATGATCTTCCTTTGACCATCCACCACTTGACTGTGGAAATAGATGACGATCCTGATGGGAAGAACATATTGTGTCTCCAATCAAGAATAGCATTGCAGAACACACAAAACATATGACCGACCATCTATTGCAAATACAGTTCTGTTGTGTTTGGCTATCACAATAACATCTGTATACAGTGATACGATATTTTCAATGTTGAGTACGAACAAGAAGATGCCTGCTCCCACAAACAGGAAGAACGGGTTCTCCACCAGATAGGAGTGAGCCCTGGCCAGCATTGATAAATTGGGGTTTTCCTTTTCTAGATCCTCCACCCAACGCTTTCCAGCCTGAAACATTGTTTTGAGATCACGAAAGGGACCACATGACGAGGAGGGCTTGATACTGGAGAGAAAGACAACGCATATGATGTGAATGAGACAAGCGGTAAGGGTATTTTGGTCAAAGGCGGTCTCTGTTTGGACAGAGTGATGAACAAAGGCCTCATGTGAGTTATGTACAACGTGCATTTACCTCCACATGGTGTAGGTGACACACACAGAGGCCCCGAGGAAGGAGGGGAAGCAGAGTAGAGTGATGAAGATGGTGGTCATCTGGCTTACTCTGTATGGCCTACTGGGGGCCTGACAGTTCATCATCACACTGCTCTAGAGGGGGGGGAATTGCATACCGTATCCACATTTACTGTACATCCAAATATTACATGTAGTACGACATAAAACGACATTTATGAAAGAAATTATTAGACCACACTTGTTTCTTCAGATTCTTGTTCATTTTAAAATCTTGGTACAAACAAAAGGTATGTTTGTTTGGACAAATATAATGACAGCAAAATAGCTTCTAAGAGTTTTATTTAAGAGCTGATTTCTGGTCATCTTCCATAGTTTTCCTGAGCATAACTAAAATCATGTAAGTTCATCACATTAATCGCGATGGCATTGCACTGCCCAAAACCACGCTTTTAAGGCATTCCATGCTCTCCTTTCTGTCTGTTAGTAAGATGATACACCTGTACTGGTACTAGGCATTAAAACAAACAAGAAATCGAAGAAAACAAGGTGGTCTAATATTTGTTTTCCCCCATGACTGTATACTCAAACAGCAACAGTTAAAAGAATACCAACAATGTCAATCAGGTTTCTCCCTTTTTGGACAAGCTATATTGTTTCATTTGAAGTACGTATATGCATCTATTTACATGGTTTCTATTAAGGACAACATACCTTTTTAATGTAAAAAAGCAGCAGAAGTTTCAGTATCTGCACCGCAGGCAGCAGAGGAGTGAAGAGAACACCAAGCCTAAACAACACATGTTCCATGTAGTAATCAGGCAGTCAGTCAACAGCGAGGTTGATATAGTGTACATCAGAGGCAAAGGAGCTCATACTGTACCAGGCCAGTGTTTGCCCATAGATGAGATCGAGGACATTCTTGGCAATATCAAACACTGGTTTCCTGTTCTTCTTCAGCACCTTCTCTGAAAACAACCTGCAGAGGAAAATTGCGGAAGTGACATGAGAAAGGGAACACTTGATAAAATGTTATATCGATTTGGTGCTTTTCATGATTTATTTGAATTATTCTTTTTCTTGGGTAGAGTGATAATGCACGAGCTAATATACAACTGAAATCATTACAAAAAAAAAACATTTGCCCCACAGAGTCATCTCATTCAGAAAGACTCAAAAATATACATGCACCACTTGGACCACTCTTTATGGTTCATTTAAATTGGTTGGTGAAGACTTTGAAACATGCTCCACAAAAATGGTCAATAGAGTTGAGGTCAAGAGGTTTGGGAAGGCCATTCCAGAAGCTTCACGTTGGCCTGATTTTTTTTTTTTTCATCACTCATTCATTTATTTTATGGCATCCATGTCCATGAGCGTAAGTGAACTTCTGAAGACAATTCTAACTACCGGTAGTTAAGATTTGTCTAGAATGGCACCCAGTAGAGGGCAGACATGCGCCAAAGCCAAACTAATCCGAAACTTGTATATCTGAAAAGCACAACGTGCATGATGTTACACAAGTTTGCAACAAGCGAAGACACAATAATGAAAACACAATCTCTTGCCACACATTTTTGCTCTCATCAACCGATAAGCAGTGACCAAAAGACCTAACTGAGAATGACCCACCTCCAAAGGAACTCTCCAAACAAGATGTCGAGAAGAGTAAAAATGAAATCCATTAACAGGAAGCGATAAAGTTCTTGACCAACAAAACTCTCCCAGCACTGCGGATCAAAGAACGCATCAAACATCACAGAAAACAAACCAACACAATTGACACACTCCTAAATTATTCCTTGTGATCATAATGAGCTATGATACCTTGAGGCCAATACTGTTTGGATCAGCAGCCACTCGACCGAGCCAATGGTAGCAAAGTACTCCAAGCACACTCACTTTTAACATCAAGTTTCTAGAAAACGACATGCAGGTCGGAACTACATCTTATTACTCGGTTGCATTTTGAACAGTCTGACAGTATTTCAGCACATACAATTTCTCCGGAGACTGTACCTGCCAATGGCAACGTATGTGCGGAGGGAAGGTGACTCATAGTCCTCCATCCAGGCAGCCAGGTTGAACATAATAGGCAGCAGCAAGTTGATACAGGACACTACCACGGGGAGAGCCAGGAGGCTGGCCTCATTCAGCAAGGGGTCCTTGGTCACACTGCGAGAACTTTGCTGGAGGTTCTAGGGAGAGACATGGAGTGCAAAACAGACCGTGCTGACATTACATCACCAGCATGACATGAAGTGTAAAACAATAGAATGAAATCCAACAAGAGCACGACAGTGGCATAGCTGGGCTGTATTCCACATGCGTCACAGGGGCCCGACATTGCACATACAAATAAGAGGACAGCAAAGAGACAAAAAAAAGTAAGGAATAAGTAAGCCAGGAATAGACCGTGACAGTGATTAGAATTGCAATAGCTGCTTCCCACCCTTTCCAAACAGGAACATTTAATAAATAAATGACATGCAATAAAACTTGGCTCCAATAAACAACTCAAGGTGCCATTACACCACCAGGCATAGAAATCGAAAAATAACTTCAGTAGACATTAGTTGACATCAAAGTCCAGCTGCATGAAAGCAAAAACGGCTATTAAAAAAAAAAAAAAAAAATAGATGAGTTCAGAACTTTGCATTTCTGCTACAATTTGACCGAGCCTAGAACGTTGCTTTTCTTTTCTTCATCCTAGTAAATGTCTCGACAACATTGTTCAAGTTAGCCCTCTCAGCAAGGTCGCTCTCAAACGACAAAAAAATAAAATAAATTAAAAAATAATAATAATAATATTTATTTATTTGTTTGTTTGTTTTTAAAGAGAGAGAGCAGAGCGCCCCTGGGTTTACAGAACCTACCAACCCTGCGTCATCTCCACTACTGGAGCACAATATCTATCTATTTTTCTGTGTAAATAAGTGGCCAAACTGCGAGACTGTACATTCAATAACAATTTCACAGAGGTTTCAATGTAATAAAAATATTACTACCGCGCTATACCTGGTGCATGTGTTCAGAGAAGAAGTAGATGGAGAGCACACAAGCGGTGGTGCTCGCTACACATATAGTCCACGCCAGACAGTGGACCGCCACTCGCCACAGCTTCTGGTACAGTGTTTTTGTGGAGTGTTTATGATTCACCTCTGCTAGCAGCTCCTGCAAGTTGTGGATTGAGAGAGATGACCTGAGAAAATGTTTTGCATCACATTTCTCTATGCTTATTATGGCCCCATTTCCACCAAGTAGCTCAAGCTCATTTCTGTATTTCTATATATCAGTTGCAAAGGGGACCAAACTGACAGACCTGCACCATATTATTGCAGTTTTATGTCACCATAAAAGTTTGCCAAAGAGCCTTGAAAAAGTAAATGGAGACAATTGCAGTCTGTTGGTTGCAGCGTACGTAGCAGCATTAATGAAAAAGAAAGAACATAAAATGTTCCTTGAGCAAAAACATAATATTTATCCCCACATTCAGAAGAAAGAACAAGAAATGTTCCGGTTATTTGTTGAATTAATTGGCTTAGTCCATAGTGGGAAAGCTGAACTCAACTCTAATGCATGGTGGAAACACGGTTAAATTAAATGCGTCAAGTTATTTTTCCTTGTACCTTGAGCTGGGTGCAGATATTCTCAGACATGAGTTTAACGGAAGATTTCTTGATGACCTTGAAGTCCCAGGAGCAGAAGGCTTTCATGGCCAGGATGCTATGAGATTTGTCAATTCGGAAGCTTCGACCAAATGACTTTGACATGCTGGTGGGAGGTAACGTGAAACTATGCATCAGAAAAGGTACATGTATATCATTCGGTAAAGAGATAAGTGTTCTCAAAATGTGAGTTTAAAGTGCACATTTCTCTACAAAGAATGCATACCTGTAAACAAGGATGATACATGTGACAAAGAAAGCCATGCCTATAGTGAAGAAATAGGCAAGTGGCATCTTGTAAGGCAGATGCTTCAACGTGCAGTCCGAACTGGTTCCAATGGAGACGGATGCATATTGCCCTCCATTTTCATTTCTGCAGTTCATACGCAGTGTGTAGTTACAGTAGTACCCGTAGTACATCACTGTGTCCGAGAAATATCCCTGAAACATGACCAGATGGACGCTTGCTAGCTTTCTGAAAATATTACAGGCAAATGAAATTAATCTGCTTAAAAACTAAGCATGAATGTTATCTAGACTTGATGCCAACAATATGCTTTAATGAGGCAAGGCAACAAAATGTGACAAGAATGGCACAAAAACATGGATACTGTAAAATTCATTCATTCATTCATTTTCCGATCCGCTTTATCCTCACAAGGGTCGCGGGGGGTGCTGGAGCCTATCCCAGCCGTCTTCGGGCAGTAGGCGGGGGACACCCTGAACCGGTTGTCAGCCAATCGCAGGGCACACAGAGAGACGAACAACCATCCACGCTCACACTCACACTTGGGGACAATTTTGAGTGTCCAATCAGCCTGCCATGCATGTTTTTGGAATGTGGAAGGAGTACCTGGAGAAAACCCACGGAGGCCCGGGGAGAACATGCAAACTCCACACAGGGAGGCCGGAGCGGGGATACTGTATAATGCTCGTCTTAATTTAGTTGTTTGGCCCGTCACTATAACTCGCTGGCATAGCTAAATGAACAATGATACCTTACTGATAGTAAATAACACCATTTTCAGATGGGTTTCGTAAAAGTAGATAATTTCCGATAGCACACCTGATGATCACTCACGGCACAATCATTTTGGGAACCACTGTGACATTGCCATTCTAAGAAGACCTAGTGGCATTTGTTATATGTAGAACATCATGAAAACCCAACTTACTGCTCCGGTAAAAAGCTCCAGTCCAGTGAAAGAGTGTCTGCCCTCGGACAGAGCTGGAGGGTGCACTGCCTGAGGAAGCACTACGAACAAACCGATCAGTAGAAAGAGGAAGAGGTTGAAGAAGAGTAGAGTCTTGAGAAACAGGAAGTAGGACAGGACCCCGCTGCCAAAACGACCGCTCACTCGCTTGAGTGCAACTTGCCACAGCTGGAGGGAGTGCACGAAAGACAGCCAACTGTACCAACTCTGTCTTGCGGCCTGAGAGTAGAAAGTGAAAGTGAACAAACAATGTTTTGTAAACGCCACTTACACCGATCGCAGCAGTGTTCATCCTCGAAAAATGTCCAGATATGTAATCCGTTTTAACCGCTGTCAGTAAATGTTTGAGTGATTAAAATGTTTTCAGAATGGACATTGAATTATAGACTGAAGGGGAATGTTCTGATGGTTTCTTAGGCATCGATACCTTTCCTATCTTTAACTTGTCCTGTGATGATGATGATGTGGTCATTGACAAATGTGATTCGTATATCAAACGTATGAATACGGTTTCCTGTTAGAATTTAAAAAGATACCCTCATGAGGCTTATTTATAAAAGGGCTCATTGTGGATAACAAACAAGTTTCAGAAGTAAATGACGCAAAAACAGGTGAGGAATTGTTGGCGGAAAAGGGACACTGGAGGTCAGAGTAACTCACAATGATGACATAATATTTGAGTCGGCTGCAGCAGGGGATCTGATTGCCAGACAGAGTGCGTCTCTCCTTTTGCGAAGCTAACCTTCTGCACACAAGCGCAGAGGCAATATTCAGTGGACGGTAGAAGCTATCCATACAAAATAACATGATGAAACAATACGATACCTGAGTTCACTCTTTTCTGCTACACTGAGAGGCATAGCCCGGAGCATCCTGACTCTGTCGCTTACGGAGAGGTTCTGCAAGTTATTCACCAGACGATCCCTTTTATTTACTAGAACACAAAGAGATTGTATAAAAAGAAATAAATTAATCCATTTTAAAAAGAGAAACATACATGAGAGTCAGCAGACAATAGCCATAAAATAGGTACAGAACACTCACAATCGAATGGCAACCAACCTGAGAGTCATTTTAAAATCTTCGCTTGCAATGATAATTCTACTTTATGATAGGTCATTTCTTCTGGTATGTCCACCCAGTGCAAATGTGCAGGGCAACATTAAGTACAAGCTTTCGATACACTAGGGTGCAGTGCAGTTCTAACGAACACTATTGCAAGTATCATCATAGGGTTTCATTAAAACTTGTCCAACAGTCATTTTCAACACATTTATATCTTTTTTTTTTAATTCATTAGCCTCCCTGTTTTAACAGTAGGGCATTATTCTCACCATCTGCGTCTGTACTGTCTGTCTCGATGCCGTAACCTCGTATGGTCGGTCTAGCCGAGCGTGAGAAGTCTTGGATTGAGGGCCTGCTCTGCTTGCGCCTCCGAAGCTGCATGGTCCTGTTGTAGTACTGAGAGATGATGGCTCCCCTGCTGCGGCCTGAAAGAAACATTTTGGAACGCGGTTATCACGACGGTATTTAAAAGTCAATCTCCTACATGCACCACAACATGAAAAGGTCAATGATGAGAGCTGTACTCTGGGAAAAAAGGTTTCAGTATTCATGTATGCATATATGTGAAGTCCTAGTAAAGTATACATTTTGTGTCACTATTTCCATTTTAGCAATTCTGAATACAACAAATTCTTTACAGGACTGCAGAGCCACGAGACAAGAAAAACTGAAATGTTTTCAATGATGGGTTACTAATGTTAAAACTCAAGCCAGAGGATATAATATTTAAGAGGAATTTAAAATAATTCAAGGTTCTGCCACAAACTGTACATGGTGAAACACCCGACCTGCCAAAGATGCTGACAGGGACATGGCAGACACTTTGGTTCCCCATGAAACTCCGCTCAGCTGAAGTCAGGTTGAGTGTGTGGTACAACACATCAGCTCACAATGGTAGGACAGCACCAATACGTACATATGGCCGGATTTACAAACAACCCACAAGGCCTCCTGCTCCTCCTTATCACAATAATCGTGGTCGTCGTTAGACACAGCGATGACATTTTACGCCTACATTTCAGATGCTGCATCTACAGAAGCAAAATTAGCCAATGTCTCTGGTTTAATGAATTACACATGCAAATGTGTCTTTTTACATCTACTCTTCCCAGTATCTTGCAGTTTGGACGCACCGCGCAAAACCGCACACCTGGGAGCACCCTGTTAGTCGATCAGCTTTTATATCTAGTTATGAGGGCAATTAAAATCGTGCCGGTTTTTGCATGCGCAAACCTTGAGTAAATAATGCTCATAGTGCTCAATCACTGATAAGCAAATATTCAACCGTGTTGTGCAAAAGGGATCATCTGCCAAAATGTCAACATGCAATGACGTGCTGTACGAGATGGCCAAAATGTGTTCTATTTCTCTACAGCATTGATAGGACCAACCGATGGTGCGGCTGGGCATGGAGGACAAGATCTTCAAGGTGTCTGAAGACCAACGTTCACCAGTGAAAGGGTCAGGTTCTCTTTCATCATGCTGCATTCCCAACAGTCTCCGCTCACTGCGCTCTGATCCAGGGCTGGACAGCTGGGCCACACAGTCTAAGGAATTCAAACAAAAATACAAAGTCCAAGCCAGTGTAGTATGTATTGAGAAGACCGCAGACACAAGCCATGGTCATACTGTAAACAAAATAACATTCCCTTGACTCACATCTTTTGGAGGGCATAAAAAGCCTTGTAGACACATGAACTTATTAAAAAAAAAATAATGAAAAAAATACACACCTACTAGTCACAACATGCTGAGCGCAACAACGTAATGAGAGCCAATACAAGAGTCATAGCGATAATTCTGCCTCTACGAAAGACGATATTGTTCCGTTGTGATTGGCACTACAAATTTAATTCCGAAATTATTTGTAGTTCCAATTTCTGGTGGTGCAATCTACAACCACATCGCTTCATTTCGACGGTTGTTCCTAACAATTGGACTCCCATGTAACTTTATACTTGAGCTGAAGAAAACTTTCAACATAGCTCTCATGATAAAAAAGTGCAGTTGTACACAGGTGCAAGTGACAACCACAACAATAAACATCGAGCCATTATCTGACCCGCTTATACCCGTGAGGGTCGTGGGCGTGCTGGAGCCTATCCGAGCTGTATTCGGGCAGTAGGAGGGAGACACCCTGAACTGGTTGCCAGCCAATCCCAGGGCGCGCGTAGACGACCAATCATTCGTGCTCAAATTCACACCGAGGGAAAATTTAAAGCATTCCAACCTGCCATTCATGTTTTTGGAATGTGGGAAGAAATCTGAGTATGGAAATGGTACTTGTGAGAAATATGATGTTGGAGTAGTCTTGAACAAACTCTCAATGTTGAAAGAATTTGGGCAAGTTGTAGATGGAATGGAGTTGTGCTGCTTGCTCTACGTACCTCGGCTCTCCTCATCCAGTTCTTTCTGTAGTTGCTGTAGTTCAAAGGCTTCGCCCAGGCCTCCGTTGTGAATCTGCTCTGCTATTAGCTGGTGGAATGAGTCATGAACACCTTCCTCATCTGCTGGGCTCCTGACACCACGTACAGATACAAGAAAATACACAAAGACGGTAAACAGCAGTCTCAGCACAAACATACAAGGGCGAATTAAGTCCCATTTCAGTACAAAAACCGCACTAAGAGAAGTTGAGGACTTAGAAAACATGACATATCTTGGTCACCAGTACTCCCAGTGGAACAACTGTAAACCGATGCTCTGTGTTATCGAGCAATAAAACCACAGATAAAATTATAAATAATAAAAGCGATGAGTTTAAACTGTATATGCAGTTATAAATAGGTGGGTTTTGAGATGAGTTTTGAATATAGGAAGAGAGTCAATGTTTGATGTGCGGTAGGTCAAAGTTGACAACTCCGCTTGCATGAAACAAAAACCGCAGAAGCAGTTCACATCTGTGCTGTTAGGGCACAGTCACAGAGACATATGAAAATTCTGTGTGTACCTGGAGATAACAACAATGACCCCCCCCTCCCCCGCCAAGTGCATTTTGGTCAATTCATTTTCTTTCTCCTCTAAATGTGATCTATCTTTCTTTCATTCCAAAGCAGAAACGTGTCAGGGTGAAGTGAAACTGTCAAAGTCTGCCTACATAGTCGTGCGACAGTAATTAGACGGGAGCTCTGTGCTCATGAGACATAGGAAAAATAAGGTCGCAAGACTGGGGGAAACTCGTGAACAAATTGAAGTCTCTTTCTAGAAGTAGGGAGTGTTCAGACAAGCAAATAAAACCTCAGGATTATGATCTACCCTTGTACAAACAGACACGATATCCAAGAGCAAAACAGTCCGATCACCTGTGTTCCTTAATCTCCACCCACTGGCTGTGCTGAGCAAAGGCAGGTGAGCTTGAAACAAGTCAAACGGAAAAGTACAAGACGACACTGTGTGAGCATAAAAAGAAACATTGCCACACTCACTCCAGTCCAGCTTCCATGAGTGGGTGGCCCAGGTCGCAGTCAACATTCCGAGCCATTCTTCTCTCCCGCTGACTGTGTTTGTGTTGACTCCTTGCTGCGAGGTTCACACCTTTGCCAGATCATAAATGCACTCCACCTCCATCATGGCGCCAATACCTGTTGAAAGGGGAGGAGATATCACAGAGGAGGCAGGACTATGAGAACATGACGAGAACATGACAGGAAAAGGAAGGAACAGCATCATACTACTTTGGAATGTGGACACACGAGTCGAGACTTGCCCGGTGCACTCATTCGGTTCCATGTTGCAATGAGACCTCAAGATCTATTTAGTTTATGATCACTGAGATTTTGTTCAAGTATGTTTCCTCGTAAAGGAAAAATGTAAGATTAGAGCCACATAGGTGAGTTATAAAACCCCTTATTAGGACTCTTCCAAAAATGTACGCATCCATGGTTCTGGGTCTTCAACATCAATCAACACTGGCCTTGCCGTGAGAGGTTAGGCCACTGTGGCTCAGTCACTAAAGCTCCTTTGTCGCACTGCATGTGATGGGGACTGAGTCAGATGCCACCGTCTCCCTTGTAACATGAATATTCATGAATGAAATCAGAATGATGCATTGTCAGAATTGTGTGCGCGTGTGTTTGTGCATGTGCGAGTGCCGATATATGAGCTCATGGCGGAAATGAATTCACAATATCAAGGGATTAAAGAGCATTATTGTCACATCTATTAAGTTATCCATTCTTATCCATTCAATTGTAAATCCATTTGCTTTGTAACCACCAACATATGTGAGACATTTCCACGAGGAGTGTCATATATTTTTTCACACACACACACACACACACACACACACACACACACACACACACACAATAAACACCTCTTCCGAAGAATCCATCTTTTTTTCCTCACCGACTGTCCTTCAAAATGGAATAAAAACATTCTAAAAACTGCTGAATGGGGAGGCGGTTGCTAGGAATAGCCTCTGTCATATCAAAACGACGGCCCTGTTGAAATGAAGAATTCCAGCCTAGGGGGCCGACAGAAGCTACGCCCACAAGCGTTATCATAAATGAAATCAGCTGAGAAGGTTAAAATAAGTTTTTCTTTGTCATTTTTTCCGCAAGCTACTACTTGGGTGTTTCCGATAGCTTACATTATGTAAGATTTTGCCCTCATTAAAGTCAAAAAACTTCTCCCTACCCCTTTGAACATATAACTGTGATGATGTTTGTATTACTTATTTTTATTTTCCTTTCATAATTTTTGTTTGCATTTTGTCATCTGTTATTGTATGTTTTATATATGTTCAATAAACAAACAAACAAAAAGTCAGTGACAAATGAGTGATAGGGGAAGTTGGTGTGTTTGTGCTCATTACACTTCTGTTCTGGGTTTAACTGTGTCAATAAAAATATAACCTCAAGACCAAGTACGGATATGACCTTGGGCTTTACAAACACGAATCAAATACCCTTACATTCGGGCTCGCACATGCCTGTCAGAACCAAGAAACACCGCAATATCAACCCCACCTATTCTTCTGTATGTTCCTCTATTGTTGTATTGTCCCAACTCATTTGTGTAGGAGGTTGTACAAGGACCTGGGCATGGATATCACTCCACGCTTTGACATTGTGTCTGTTATCTCAGTTAACAGATAATAAACATTCTTTAAAATATTTAAGGTATCCTCTTTGTTAGAGTAAGTATCTTTCCCCATCGCAATACCTTTGTACCTTAGTATTTTCTGGAGGGTTATATTTCAAAACTAGTGCAGATTGAATCATCAGCAGCAGTACCATCATCATGTGCCCTCTCAAACGGGATGTTGTCAAGCGATCTCTCTGCATACTAGACTGCAATTCAGCAAGAACTGAAGGCTTAATTCATTTCTTCTAATTCCTTGTCTAACAGTTACTTCCACTCATAAAGGTTTTATGAAGGTAACAGTTTGACCCTGCATTGTATTGTATTTGACTGTGTTGATGCTGTCTTCTTGACTGGTGGGAAAAAGGCGAAATGTCAACGTATGCATTTTGTTCTCATGCACCAGGACAGCAAGGACAGAATACTGTGGGAGTGACGTAGCCACTTGGGGGAGGAGGTTGCACCACTGACAAAACAAATAGTCTGGACAACTCAAATTGACAATTAACATAGATGGCCAGATTGTTCAACTGGCCTTGAATTACAACAGGAAAAAGGAGTGGTGTCACATCTTTCATCGTAAAGAAATGCTTAACTTGCTGAATGAGATGTCAGATTCCCAGAGGGCCAAATAAAAAGCGCAAAGGAATTTGTTCAAAGAGCAACAACAAAACACAGCACCATAACTGAACTTGATTGTCTGCTTATTTTGCCAAAGATGTGCATGTGTTTACATTCAGAATGCAAATGAGGGAGAACATATGGGGAAGATAGAAAAGGGGAGTCTGCAACAAATTCAGTCCATATGGCAAGTGCCCGCATTCTTCAAGACCAAAGGGGACAAAATTACAGAGTAAATCCTGCCTTCATCGGCCCTGAAAATCCCCGTTGCGGGTTTAAGCACAATGCATCTATCTAAGAACGTAAGAAAGTATCCATGGAACTTTAAAACAACAAACCATCCTGCCATTGTTCAGCACAAGAGACAAACTCATTCGCCTGGCTCGGTGTTGTTTCAAATGACTGCATTTTTTCTGCAGACCAAGCTTACTTTTCTGGGTGACGAGATTTAAAAAAAATATATTGCGACAATATATCAGCTGTAAATTTGGAAAGTTGCTCGTTCGTTCGGTAGCTACTTCGTCAAGTAATTAGTGATATTAAGTTGTCAAAACTTTCGATATGGCGACGTATCTAAATTTTATTAATGTGACTGATTGAGATGGAGTATAAAATCAAATCCAAAGAAGTCCGTATTCACTCACCAGTTTTGAAACTTAGCAAACTCCTGAGTCTCAGTTTACGAGTAATAGTCAAACCAGTGAGCACCCCAGTCTAACCACCGATTCATACGGGAAAAACCATTATGTTTAAATGGGTGAGCATTGTACAAAAAACAAACGTGCAATGCTGTGTTCAACTTCAAAACCTCATATATCCTACTCACAACCATTTTCACTGCAGCCAACTCTAGAGTTATATCCTGTATTTAGCGACATGACACTTTGATTGATAAACAAGTAACTGTAGGTTTCTCCCAAACATTTCTCGCAGTGGTTGCGCCTGATTCGCAGCAGTCGCTCTACCGGTGTTTGGAAAGACAACATGTAAAACTGCAACAATTAATTAGCACTTCAATACAGTATACGCTATGGAATGTATAGTGCCCGTCTGACCACTCTCTCAAGAATATTCTGATTCAGCGGTTGTAGTAAATGTCGATTTTAACATAGATATACAGTACTTGATATCAATGTATTTTGCTGCCAACTGTATAATGCAACAGGGGTCACCAACATGGTGCATGTGGGCACTATGGAGCCCCCGAGGACCATATGAATAGCCCGTGCACGGACCTGCTCTAATAATACTGTGTAGGTCATAGTGATGGGACAGTGTGAGTTTTTTTTGGGTGGGGGGGGGGGTGTTGTCCATGTGATCATTTGAAAATGGCATTTACAGAACCAAATGTGTTGTATATTGATATTCCATATCCATTCATCTGTCCATTTTCTAATCTGCTTAGGGTCGTGGGTGTGCTGGAGCCTATCCCAGCTGTCTTTGGGGAATAGACAGGGTCCACCCTGAACTGTTTGACAGCAATGTATTGTTGACAAATCATTATTGCGTGTCATGTTTCTGCATCCTGTCACATGACTGATTTCCTGTAAACAGTACAGTTTGGGGTGTACTTTTCGGTCAGATGATGCACATCAGACGTCTGCTTCACCCAGTATAATGTGAGCTGTTCAAACAGGACTTTGCACAACAATGCTAATGCTCGATCAGCCACTGAGGAGCTTTGAATATGACTCAACGGTCCAAAACAGGATATTCTGACTGACACTGGGGAACTAACTTTTGTAGGGAAGGGTGGCTGCTGAGAAGAAAATGTTTTCTGTGTGAATACTTTTGCAGGATGCACATTATTTGTACCTTTTGTTTATTAACAAGCTAATTGGGGGAAAATGGAGGCTAAGGTCAGCTTCACAAGACTCTTATCAGGTAACACAACATTTTATTCCAAATATACCTGTACAGTACACCACATCTGTAATGTGGGAGGCGAGAGGACTGTTTTTTTTCTGACACTCAAACATTTTAAAAAGTCAAAGCAAAATTATTACTCTCACATTGTAATCTTTTTTTAATTACTTTGTAATGTTATTTTGGCTGCAGAAGAAACCAATTGTTCCACTCTGTCGTCAGACTCCTGCGAGGATTATCATAAAGAGTTATTGCCGAGCATGCAGGTTTTCCGGCCTGTGCAGAGCAGACAGGATGTTTCAGAGGCTGATAAGGGGCTTGGATACATGTCCAAAAGACCCAAGGACAAGAGGTCTACTCAGCCACTCAAGAATCTTCCCATGTGTATTCAAGCAAAAAGGGATGCCAGGTGGGTAGGCCGGCCGCACATGAAGCTGCATGCTTCCTTTTGTTTAATTTCTTCACTTTGCACTTCAAATGTACCATTATTAGAAATAATGTTTTCCAAGCCCCTGCTCAATCGGCGGTGCTTATTTGTTCAATGCTTCAATGTCGACAAGGGAGCATGCTTTTCACGATGCCTTTAAAATTACATTTTTACATTATTTGTTTATTTATTTACTTATTTGTTTATGTATTTATTTCTGCTGCTCCTGGGTTTTCTTAGGAACAGAAGAAAGATGCAAAAGAGCAATATTGGTTTCTGGGAGTCATGGAGGCGGAGCCAAACTACCAAAACCAAGAGGGTGTGGTCTAAGTTGAGAGGAGTCGTTTCAAGACTGTTACCATGGCAGCACACACTGCATATCATTGAAGGTATATAGAGTAGATTGTTCAAACCAGTGGTGGCGGTGCATTTGGTACATAATAATGGATGATGATGATAATGATAATGGGATATCATATTATATCATTGATTGATCTGTTTCAGGCCGATTTGGTGTGGGCGTAAATGCCTATTTTGTATTCCTCAGATATCTGGTATACTTGAATCTAATCCACTGTGCTCTCATATGGGCCTTTATTCTGGGGCCTACAACATTTTATGGGAGAGGCAACAAAACAGGTGAGTCAGCTGAAAGAATAATATGACAGGAAATGAACCACAACTGACAACTGACAAATCAGTGTTTGTTGTGTGTGAATTCACAGAACCTTTAAGGTTTGGAGGCAATGACTCAGTTCTGGATTTCTTTCTGGCATCGGTAATGTTCTATGATTTTGTGTGCAAGATATGTTTTTATGGTGTTTTTTGTTTGTTTGTTTGTGTTTTTGTTTTTTATTCCAACTCTTTCATTTCATTTGCTCAGGGCTACCTGGACCGCTCTCCAGTCTTCTATGGTTTCTATACACGTGGTTCCCTCAATCATCCTTGCTTGAATACTCCACTGCTGTACCTCATCGGCATCCTTGCTATCCTCTTCCTCAGTGCCATTGTGGAGATTCATAGGTCTGTCACCAAATAATCAACAGTGTCAGGAAGATTGATTTTGATACGCTGGCTTGTCATAAGTGTCTGTGATTTTTGTTTTTGCATCGGTGACACTGGAACAACAGCAGTACTTCAGTATTCAGTATTGATGAACACTTGTCAAGTTATGTGAGCACGAGTGCCATCGCTAATTTACCGTGGTAAAAAAACAATATCTGTCCTGCAAATTTGCAGCACATGATAAAACTATGAGTTCCATACCCACCCTGAATCTCTTTAATTAAACATGGCAGAAATCACCTTAAAGTGAATGTTTACAAAGTATCTTCCCCTTGCATTTTAACTGCTGTTGATTTGTCTTTTTTTTTTTTTTTTTTTCCAAACAATGGAAAATAGAACAATCATCGGCTACAAGCACACATGGATGCTGGGAAAGCGTTTCAGAATGAATGTGAGCTATAAAATCTTTTGTGGCTGGGATTTCACCATCAAGGACGCTGATGCAGCCGCGCTCAACAGCAGCTTCCTGAGGAATGATCTCAAGGTGAATGGAAAGGCAAACACAACCATCGTGCATGATGCCGAATATCCTATTAAAGCGACCACAATTTTGCAGTTGCGTTGTAAAAATCTGAATGCAAGATTTTCATTTCAACCAACAACGAATGGAAATTGTAAAGTCTTCAATCAACATTTTGAACTATTTATATGTAAACAAAACTGGGTCAAAGAAGATATGTGTTTTGTCGAAGAACCCGATAGCCATGACCTCAGTGGAGTGATCTTGAACAGCGATTGTGTGCCAAGACCTCTTGTCCAACAATAATCCTAAATAATAATCTCAGACTTTATTTTACCACTACTCAGGGTTGAAAGAAACCGAGTTCTTGCGCGAGTAGTGAAATCCAAGTAATTAATGACCTTCAAAAAATGTTTAGAATTGCTTGTCAATCCCACAAAATGGTGACCAAGCACTATTTTTATATAAATGAAACTCTCAACTCACTTTAATGTACCGGGACTATAGCTCATTAGCTCTAAGATGCCAAAAGATGGTGGCAAAGCACTACCGTTGTCGAAATGAAGCTCCTTTATTCACATCAACATAGTTGCTATGCGCCAAGATGATGGTGAACATGGTGTCAAATACAATTTTTTTTTTTTTTTTTGCTTTGGCCTGAGCACAAAAACAGTGATCAGGTGAGGTTTTCAGCAAATAATAGAGGACAGGTTCTGAAAAATAAATTCATTTGTGAATTTGAGAGACCCGTTATGGACTCTTTCGTCGTTGAACCCTATAGCAAAGAATCACAAGGCGGTCAATATTACATAGATACTCAGCGGGTTATGATCATGCATCCTGTGTCCCATGTTGCTAAATCACTAACTTATTACAAGGTTCAATCTTTTACACTTGGGTGCTTGGCCAGTGTTTTTTTTAACCCTCAAAGGCCTCTGTACTGAGGCTCATAAGGATCTCAGGAACCGGCGGTCAGGGTGGCAGTTCCTGATGCGACAGAAGTTATAGGACACATAAATTTGACAGAATATGTATGAAAGTCATTTGCATAATTAATCTAACAATTCAATTGACAAATTAATCTTTATGTTTTTAATTTTGTTTGGAAATTTTAAGAAACCTTTGAAGAGTGATTCAAATGTTGAAATCCCTTTATTATGTTTAATTGTACCGGTTTTTATACAATACTTAAAAAAAATTAAAACGCAATTTGAATTAATTTCAAGTGGAAATGTTGATTTGATCCATTCATTCTCTGTACCGCTTTTCCTCACGAGGATCTCAAGCATGCTGGAGCCTATCCCGGCTATCTTTGGGAGAGGCAGCGTACACCCCGAACTGGTCCAATCGCAGGGCACAAATACACAATCGACCATTCACACTCGCATTCACAGCTACGGACAATTTGGATTCTTCGATTATATATGAGTAAATCGAGTGCAATGAATTAAACTCAAGTTGACGTACCACCATAAAAATGAAATCGATAGTATGAAGAGAAATTTGAGGTTTAAATATGACCGCGACACTGACACACATTGTTTATCTTCTCAGCTATACTTGCAGGAGCAGCGTTTCTCCCAGTATGAGGCAAGGAGGACAGTGTGGCAGCGGGTGCGTCTCTACCTGCTGCGGATCATCCTCAATCTGCTCGTTCTGTCTCTCCTGGGTGGAGTGTTCTACCTCATCTACTTTGCAATCGAAACATCACAGTCTATGGCAAAGGTAGTTGGAGTTGATGTAATATGGCGGATTTGACTTCTTGGTGAAAAGCCTTCCCTTTGTGACACCATCTGATCTCCATGCGTTCTCCAGAACAATCACTACTGGTTGGTCAGTCTCCTCCTTCAGTACCTCCCGCCGATCACCATCACCTTTGTTAACCTTTTCCTCCCTCACATCTTCCAAAAGATTTCATTTTTTGAGGACTATTCCTTCACCCTGCAGGTTAATACCACGTTGGTGAGGTAAGAAGCATAGCATATTACACACAGTATAAGGGAAGGTTTTTTTTTTGTATGCACACGCAGCTGAACTCGGATTGTCTTCCTTCAGGAGCATCTTTTTGAAGCTTGCCTCGCTGGGGATATACTTATTTTTTGTGTATACAACAACACATGAGCAAGTAAGACATATTTTACTTTCATGACAATTTTCAAAGCAGCACTTTTAAAGCTCATTCATGCAACATGGCAACTGACGGCTGTCTCCAACCACCATGACACTGAAACACTCGATAAAGCTTGACATTAAATACAGTGGATGCTTCTCCTCTTTTTTTTTTTTTTTAATTGTATTTATTTATTTATTTATTTTTTACATCATTTGGAGTATTATACATCAAGGCTCCACTGTTTTTAAAGGAGACTTTAACCATTTTCACAAATTAACAAAAGCATTGTATTGTATTTGTGTGTGTTGTTGACTGGCTAGTTCATCCGCCTCATTACAGAGTCTAAACCCCATTTGGCGAGTAAGTTCAGGGGATGTTGAATTGTCACCTGTGATCTTGTTAAACCGTTTGGGACTCTTTTGTGATTAAGTGGTATATAAATCAATTTGATTTGACTTGGTGCACCTTCTTTTCCACATTACATGTACAGAAAAATGCAGTCTCACCCTCGACCTTCTTCTTCCTGTCTCATAGTGCACAGAGAATCAATTTGGAAGAGAGATGTACAAGCTCTGTATCTTTAACTTCCTTGCGACCTTCTGCAGTGCCTTCCTCGTGAACTACCCCAGGAAGTGCGTTTGTTTTATCTCTCTTTCTTTAAAGTCATCATTGCAATTTGAAATTTGAACTCAAAGGGCAACTGTACCAAGCAACTTGCTCTTCTCTGTCTCGACTATTAGGCTGGTGCATGAGAAGTTCCGCTCATCATTACTTGGCCGCTTATCAAGGAAGCAACATTTCTCAGTGCCCTTCAATGTGCTGGATCTGGTCTATAGTCAGACTGTGTCTTGGATGGGCGTCTACTTCTGCCCTCTGCTGCCTCTGATAGGAACTGTCACGCTGATGTTGAACTTCTACATCAAGAAGGTTGGCTAAAATGACGAATGATGTCAACCACTTACTGACCTTGAGAAAATACATCCTATATACTTTCTCTGTATATCCTATAAAGCTCCGTATGTTAATGAACAAAAAGCACCACCAGCAAAATTCAATTATCATTTACAATAGAGTAAAATGAACTGAGCTCAACACATTCCATTCAACACGTGCCACTGTAAACCTCATAATTGTTGAAAATGGTTGATATTCATTAGGGTTAAGATGAATGGTGACATTTTCATCCCTTTCATGTCAGTTTACAGTCTTGCGATGCTGTGTGGCAGAGCAGAGGATGTTTCGAGCCTCCAACTCCTCGGTTTTATTCCACTTCATGCTGCTGCTCGGCCTTGTCATGGCTGCCATCACGCTGGGCTTCTCCTTTTTCCAGCAACAAACCCCAGCAGACAAAAACATGTAGTCCTTTTGCGCAATCCAAAAGAATTTGACTTTGAGGATCATTCTTGCATTTAGACTGATCACTTTGATGATGTGTTCCTTTGTGTGGCAGATTGTTTCAACATTCCCCCTGTGGCCCATTTGGAAATGGACAAAGTGCAGTTAATGTGGTGAGAGTGTGTGTGCAAAGTCTTCCAAGCGTGGCACAAACCATTATCCACTACCTGACCTCTGAGTTCTTTGCACTGCCACTCATACTTGCTGAGATGTAAGTCACCCACTTCCTCAATAGGTTGAACCACGATCAACATCCTGTGCTCTCCTGTTCACAGTTTAATACACCATGTTCACAACTGCAAACACTTTAACAGCAAATATCATCAATTAACTCATCAGTTTACTCCGTCGGATGCTGGCGGCTCCTGAAAGTAAAATGTAACATTCGGTTTTCCTCAGCATGATCTTAACCTCCTGCGTGTCTCGAGGACGGGCCAATCAAATGACTATTGAGAGACTCAAAGATATGCTGGTTTTGGTAAGTCAATTGGCCTGTCGATAGATGGGACAGCACATTATTGTGCAAAAGTATTTGTGTATGTAGAAATGCTGCAACGGTGCCTTTTGAATATTTCTTAGAGTGTTTATGAGAATACGGTACAGCTAGGAAACACATTTCGTCTTCACTTTGTTGTCTCATTCTACTTCTATTCTTCACTTGTTTTGTCTTTTGTTTTATTTGTGGATTATTGATTGGAAAAGCACTCTGTTGTTTCAAATTTGCCACGGATGAAGGTTAATAGGATTGGACATTCTGTAAATACTGTGCTCCTACGAATAACCAAAATTGACAACTAATTGGCTTATAATTGGCCGTAGATTTTGCAGTGTGGCAGCAAAGCAGTACTTTTGTGTTCGACAGGGGTTTGGCATCACTAAATGCAGCTCCTTATCTAATCATCTAACGTCAACATAGTTCTTAGGCAGCAAGATGCCTTTCATATTCGACATAGCTTTAGGCAAAAACAGCAAGTATGGTAGTTTTTCAACGACTAACAGAGGTTAGTTGCCCTCCCCCCCAATATGCAAGTAGGTTAATTTGTGAATAGTGAACCATGAATATGCATGGAGAACACTGCTATAGTTATTCTGATATATTTTAAAATGCGGTCAAATGCAGTGCAGAACTATTTCCAAAAGGGTGCATTGCAACGTTAGTTATTAGCAAAAGCAAAGACAAAAACTCAGAGGAAACAACAATGTCAACCTGCAGGACCCTCTCAAAATGGAATGGAACCCAAAATAACGTCAGTCTTCCCTGTTATTTACTCCATCAAAAAGGACTGCTGGGGAAAAATATATATATTTTAAGAAGAAAGCCAATAGTAAGACATTCGTTGTATATTTTGATTTTATCTTTGCCTTCACAGAGCACTTCAGATAAGCGTTTCCTGCTGAAAAAGAACGCACGGATGCTCCGTCGTAACAGCATGCTCTCTCTGCATCCTGGGAGAATGCCCACTCAAACCACATGAACTGCACCTTTGGTCCTTCCTTCTACTGAAACTAAACCATTTAACTTACCCATACTGTATGTGAGTATTACATAATACTTTCTGCACATGGTCTTGATCAAGTCAATTTAAAAAACAACGTAACGTAATTTCTTTTAAATAAATGTATGCTTATACTGTACTAACTGTGCTTTGTATATAGTTTTGGATGTGTTCAGTTAAATAGAAATATTTTCATATGCTTGTGCTTTTGTAATCCTTGTTCACATTCAAAGAACTGATTATTAAAGCCATGCGTGAAGCCAAAGATGACGCCTCAGTTGTTATCTATTTCTAACATGCGTAATTCATGCGTGCACATGAAAACACAGAAAAAAATGTGTCGTGGTAAATTTGGAGCAGTGTTATGAGGACTCTACACGCACTTTTTTTGTTGCCACTTCTCGGTGAGTGAAACAATTTCATTTTTAAAGAAAATTAAATACACTGTGTTTCAAATGATTTCTCTATATACTGTTTTAGTTCATTTTTCTCAAAAAACAGAATAAATAAAAATCAACAAAAAGTATAATGGATTAAAAAATGTTGGATACAAAATAATTATATAGGCCTCCAAAATAACCGGTAGTCTATTAAACAAAACCAAATTAACATTACCAAAATACCATGTTCAAAATTACCATAGTCCAATTTTCCCCAAAAATATACACATAGGTTGTGAAAAACTTCCATCAAATATTTTTAATTCAATATTTAGTATTTTTTTTAATTCCCACTATCACCAAAAAGACATATTTGCCAATCAAGATAAAAACGAACATGGGAGCGCTTTGTCGATATCACCTTGACAATCCTGTCATCGATTGAACTTGTGAGGCCATGAATAGTTTCTGCCCGCATCTCACTTGCCAATGCAAAAATTGCCTTCCATAAATGCTGTTTGGATGACTGGAGCAATGCACCAGCATAGCTCTTTTACTTAAACTTGCTCCAAAGGTTCTCAATAGCATTGTGGTCATGGGATTATGATGGCCACACCATCAGTTTTACATCCCTGGTCGATTTAGGCAAACACACATTTTTACCAGTGTGAAATCTCCAGTGTTTGCATTCCTTTTGCAAATCATAGGACAATTCCTTGGTTTTCATCAGCAGAAAACTGTCACTTGCCTAATAATGCCGATCCACTGTTTTCATTTTCTTTTAATTAGGAAGACAGCGCCGCTGCCGGCTGAAGTCAAATACTGCACTCATTTTGACCTAATTTCAACAATCTATCATTCGATCAAGTTCATAACAATCAATGAATCATGACAGTGTTGTACCCATCCCCACTTTTCTCAATTGTTTCACATGCGTAACTAGTTGCAGTGCTTGTCGTGGGTTTCCTCAGGTGGATCAATAGCTTCTCATCCGGTGCTGAATGGTCCTGCCATGGCCTACCTTGGTTCCCAAGTGGTTCTGCGTTGTAGCGCCTCCGACTCCTCCCTGCCAGTCACATATGAGCTGAGAAAGGACGGTCTGCTGATTGACGCGAGAGCACATCTCCAAGAGGTCCAGCCTGCGTCATTCTCGCTGAAGGTGACTGGGAGGTCAGGAGGGCTGTACCATTGTGAGACAAAGACTGAAGGAAGCGTGGGAATTAGCAACAGCATCAGATTCAATGTCGTTAGTGAGTATCAAGCTAAAAGATGCTCATTTAAGTTGATGTACAATAATTATTATAATGAATTTTCTACCACCAACGCCTCACTTGCAGCACCAGCATCAAACACCAGGGTGATCTCTGACCCCTTTCCCGCAGTCCTATATGAGGGGTCCAGAATGGTTTTGAGGTGCGACACTGCGAAGGGCTCCCACCTCTCCTATAGCTGGTTTTTCAACAAGAAGCAAGTTACCTCTGCTACCTCTCCTCGGCTGCACATCACTGGGAATCAGCTTGTGATGGAAAGGGCGACTCCAGAGCATACTGGGGCCTATTCATGTATGGCATGGTCCAGGGTGCAGGATGTCCAAAGGTTTTCCAGCAGCTCAGAAGTCAAGGTGATAGTCAAAGGTATTGAATACTCGTGAAATGACACTTAGGTTCAGAAGTAGGTCAAGTGACAATTAGCATGATTTTGCTCGTGATACATCAGCACAAGGGCAGCATAATAATAGTGTGGGTGGTGTTTTTTACCACCTTTGCCTCACAGTTGTGGGGGCGAGGCTTCCAATCTAATTGTGACCTGAGACGTAACAATAGCCAAGGAAGCGAGCTGAAGCTTGCGCTTTTGCCAGGCACAATTAGAAGAGCATCAGCTTGTGTTTTCAACACAATTAAAATGAGAGAGTGATATTTGTAGACTCAATTGTCAGGGAGGAAGAAAGCCTTATGTGTGAGATCTGAGATGTACTCTGTTGCTCATCTCAACTACACAAGTACTGCACACCAACAGAGTAAGCACAGGCTGATTTTTTTTTTTTTATATCGTGTGGGGATTTCACATTTTAAAAATTGGTAAGAGCAGAAGAGGGCTTGCCTTCCTTCTAGAATTAATGAAGACGAATAGATAAGTTCAAAAAACGTTTTGATTTCAGGAGTGTCTCTTGGGATTGTATTTTGTTCAAAATTTATGGAAGGAAAAATTTTGTAAGAATTAACTTGAGGAGACTTTAGAAATGCTGTTTACATGCACCACAAGATTTTTATTAGCACAGTCCACTATTGTCCAGTCACTTTCCAAAGTAAAAACAAATGGCATCAATTGCTACATTTTTTGGGGCTGTTGTCTAACTCTGTCATCTCTCATCCTCCTTCCCTCTTAATTCATTCTGTAGTCCATCTTTCGAAACCAGAGATCTCTCTTTCCATCTTCAAAGAGGGAACCGGCTACCGTGGTAACGTGACCTGCTGGTCATCCAGAGGAACTGTTCCGGCCAACTTCTCTCTTTTGGTGGACGATAAGATGATGGCCTCCGTGGTGGCTTCTGACTCCGTCAGTGCATGGTTCAGTGTAGCAGTCGTCCCTGGGCTAGATATGGGCGTGGCTCGATGCTGGGTGAAAAATGAGGTGCAAGAGTTGATGAGTGAGCCTCTGACACTGGAAGTGGGTATGCGCTACTCGTGTGTAGGAACTACCCTTATTTCTTATTGTGTTTTGTTTTGTCAACAATTCATAATTTCCTGCTTGTCCAGTTCCAGTTGGAGGTGACGTAAACGTTGAAGTTCAATATGTCTACAGATCGGACTCCACACTGGCTGCGGCCTTACTGACATGTCATGTCAGTCGAGGGTCTTTCCCTTTTGTCTCTTGGCTTTTTAATAACGCCACGCTTCCTTCTGAAACACAAATGGATTTCAAGGGGCAGCAGGTCCGACCTCAGTTTGCCCTGATGGACTGGGGACGTACTCTTGTTCTCGCCAAACTGGACTCTGAAGACTCAGGCTTTTACCAATGCAGGGCCAGGGACAGATATGACAACTCCAATCCCTGGTTGGAAAGTGGAGCCGTTCTCATTCAAATCAAAGGTGAAAAGTTCAAGACTACAATATCCAGAATGATAGAGTACACTTATATTCCACTGAATGGTGCACGAAGACAGCAAATGAAACATTATATCCCCCAAGCAATGGACTGTATTTCAAAAATACCAAATTAAGCCTTTCCTAGAATGTAAAACAAATTAGATTTCCTTTTATGTAAGATTTGTCCAGTCTTGTTTTGGGTCATACATTTTCAATTCTCAACCAGACTGGATGCTTGACAACAGACCCCAAGAAGCAGCGTCTCCTGAAACAGCACCAAGTAAACTCAACCCATAGCAATGATTTCAATGCTGCTTGAGCATGTATACAAATTCAATAACTGTTCTTTTTTTTCTATTAACCAAGTGGTCACGGAGATCATTGCCATAATATTCTGCTGCTTTCTCCTCCTCACTTTGGCAGTCAGCAGCTACTGCGTGTACAGGATGATTGACAACAAAAAAGGTGAGCGTGTATATGTGTGTGTCTGAATGTGTTTGGTTCAGTGAGGGGGCATTTCCATGGCTGCAAAATTAAATGTGTTTTTTTTCTGCCCATCTTACTCAGGTCTTCGCTCAAGTACGGCCCCAAAGTAAGTGATTATACTTTGCTGCATGTATTTTTATTTTTTTTTATGACAAAAAAAATGTGTTTGGTTAAGGATTCTTCCTTTCAGTGCTACTTCTGATGTGCTGCCTCTGTCTATTCCTATCTTCCATTTGGAGGGCAAACAGGCTGATACATGCTCAACAGGCTGCAGTATAAACTCTCAGGTAACACAAGAAAGCAAAACTGTACTGGACTTGGGAAAAAAAAAATTAGAGTTAGCTGTACACAGTAACATTCAATGCTTGTGCCTTCAGAAAGAAAAAGACGATATGCTATGCTTTGAATGTTAACTCTAGATCAGCTACAAGCTAACATTATGACATTTGTTCCTTTTTGCTGTTCTAGATTGTGGAGAGCCCTGTATGAGAGTGCGCCTTTCATCAGACTCTTCGAGCATCTTTTTCACTGTTGCATTTAATTTCTTTTATCATCATAGTCATTTTCTGCAGTTCAATTCTGATCCTATTGTAATCGACACAATTTCAGTTCATATTTATTGCTTGTGAGGACAATAAAGCAATCCTTTAGTCAAATTTAAAAGACCAGCATGACTGTACACTGGGATTTTCTGACAAATAAATTGTGAATTTAAAAATGCTGTGTTGTTTTTTTTCACTTGAGAAGTATGTTGCCGGAATATGAAATAAGAGCATCTCAGTGTGAGAGGATTGGGTCATGCTGTCGTGTGACTGAGGGGGTGGCCCTGGGAGGGAGGTGTACCATGCTATCAGTTATTTGCACGTTTCAATGAAGTGCGTATGTGTGTGCGTGTGTTTGTGTGTTCTTGGAAAACTCTCAAAACTCACGCCTCACGCCATCTTTATTACAACGCAGCATAAACAAGATTTTCCTCAATATATTCTTCAAGAATGTTTCCGTACCTTCTTGTGGGCTTGTTTCTGGGTAAGTAGAAGAATTCAAAGTGCACGACAGCACTCATTGTACCTGATCATTTTTTTTAAAAACTGTTTTTGTCCTTCTTAGGGTCATGCCACTGCAGCAAGGAAGGCGGTAATTGGACTCTTTATTACAAATGTGGATGTATTTGATTAGCTTTTTTTGGAATTACCAGGGTTGGAGTATATTCATTCGTCGTTTAAATTTGGAGAAAAAAAAAGCAGATCACGGCCAGGACACAAAACTAAAGTCATTTCACATGGCAACTTTCTGGTTTCAAGAAACACTAAAAGAAATCAAGGGGAGTGATATGATCATTTTCAAAAAATATTTTGACATCCATGAACATCCTGTCAATTGATTGGATAAGAAAAGTGTCCAAAATGTCATCGTGAACTTGTGCATTTATTGCAGATAAAATTTCAGTCATCTCCACTTTACCTGACATGCAGTCCCATATCAATAATGACTGAAGAAATGTGCATGTTTTCTTCAGGCAGTCACCTTCATAAATTTCATTGGAATGGCACCAAACAAAGGTTCCAGCATCATCAACTTGCCCAATGTAAATTTACCCGTTATCACTGAATATGACTTTCATCCACAGTCCACGATTGGTTTCACTTAGCTTACTTTGCTTTTCCTGCTTAGGCGTTAATGATGCTGCTTTTGTTTAGCTTTTCTGGGTGTGAATCCAATTTCCTTAAGGCATCTTCTTATAGTACAGTCACAAACTTCAGTTTCCTCCCATTTGTTGCTCGTTGGTTTTGCTCTGCATTTTCTATTTTCAAGAAATATTACTGTACTTGAAGTTTTCTCTCTTGACGCTTTGATGTCATGATTTATGTCACTTCACTTGGTGCAACAGCTCTCCAAGGTGTGATCACTCCTTTTACACAAACAAGCAGATTTAATGTGATGCAGGTGTTAATTTTGGGAATGGAAATTTACACTGTGTAATTTTTTTAATTCTTCTTGGTCTAAAAATATAACTGTTACTGACTACCCTCTTTTTTTTTCTTGATTTCTTTTAGTCTTTCCTATAGTATTTCCAAATTTCCTTGGAAATAATATGCTGGCTGCACCCCCACTAGTCTCATCACAAGAATCTGATTAACGTTGTGTTTGTGAAATATAGATTAAGCGGCAAAATGCACCCATTTTAATCCAGGTAGGCCTCAGACCAATCACCTGTTTTCTGAGTTTGTTCATTGCTAAGTTGTGATTGGTGGTTACAAGAGCCCTGAGCAACTGTGATGTCATGTTCGGTTGACAGCAATGCGCAAAATGGCTGCTCCCTGAGTTGATTAAAAACAGGTGGATTTTGTTCCTTCATTTATACACCACAAATGCTATATTAATCAGAATACTGTGTTTAGACTAGTGGGGCTGCATCGAACATATTATTGTTGCCTTTTGAAATAACTCTACAGTTTTGGGTCATGTCACTGATCTGCTTTTTCTTTTTCCTAAAATTTAAACAACTGAATGAACATCGGGGCGGCCCGGTGGTCGACTGGTTAGCGCATCAACCTCACAAATGTGGAGTTTGTGAGTTTGATTCCGACTGTGGCCTTTCTGTGTGGAGTTTGCATGTTCCCCCCGTGTCTGCGTGGGTTTTCCCCACTCCGATTTCCTCCCACATTCCAAAAACATGCATGGCAAGTTGACTGAACACTCTAAACTGTCCCTAGGTGTGAGTGTGAGAGCGGATGTTTGTTCATCTCTGTGTGCCCTGCGATTGGCTGGCAACCGGCTCAGGGTGTCCCCCGCCTACTGCCCAAAGACAGCTGGGATAGGCTCCAGCACGCCCCATGACCCTTGTGAGGATAAAGCGGATCAGAAAATGGATGGATGGATGGATGAATGAACATCTTCTGAAACTGGTGATTGCATAATTTTTACCAGTCTCTCATCCCGTTTTTGATTAGGTGTAACATTGGGACGTCCAAAGTTATTTGGCCCTTCATTGGCCTTGGTGAATGACGTTGCCGACTTTAATTGTCTTCTGTTGATCTACCCCGAGAATCAAACTATCCTACTGGAGTTGTACAAGTGAGTATTACATGATTAAAAACCATACCAAAATATCAGACGTAAATGTGTTAATTCTCAATTTGGTGTTCCCAGGGAGGGAAACCGGAATAAGTTGCTGGGGTTCTATAGTTCCCCGGATGGGCAGGTTGCATCCTTCCCCATCGTAATCAGAACGTTTCATGAGGGCAACCTGGAGTGCGTTGCCAGAGCGCAGAACAATTCTCAGGTCGAGCCCTCTGTCAGCAATACACACTACCTCAAGGTCGTAGGTGAGTGTTTCTATTGTACAAGGGAAATGTGTTACACATTGCATACGTGTTTATCATTGATACCTCAGTATTACATTGGACCCCTATTATTCTCGGGGATCGGTTCTGATCTCACTGTATTTGCTTTAGAGATATCAATTATTCATCAATTATTTGAATCAAGCGTGAGCTGGACCCTATTCCAGCTGACTTTGGGTGAGAGGCACCCTAAACTGGGGCGCCAGCCAATCGCAGGACACAAATAACTATTTACACTCACATTCACACGGGGAATTTCTTCAACACTGGTCATTTCGACAGCAATTTTTTATTTAATTTTAATCAGAGTCTTTTGACTAAAATCTAATTTGTTTTTTCATGATAATTTTATCATCTACAGAAGATGAATTTTAGTCTAGTTTTAAAATGACCATAAGAGTGCAGTTGACGAAAATTGCTGTAGATTTACTTGACTACAATGAAAAGTATGTCACGGGTCATGTAAACTTTCCCTTCACTTTCTACAATTCCATTACCTTTACCAACTGCCACCAGTGAGTGATATGCGGGCTTCCTCCAGCGTTACATAAAAGAGTCACTCCTCAAAATGCACAATGTTAACAGTGGCTTAAAACTTTGCCAGCCGGAGCTGGACGAAAAAAATTTAACCCTGGAGGAACACCAAGATGATTATTCATCGAAATCAATACAACCATAGGCAAACCATAGTTCATGTGCAGATTAAATATCTTCACCTGTTAACCATCTGTAATTGGACATTCCAGGAAAACAAATGACGGCTTATATGATCCATACCATGTTATCAGTCTTTTATTACGTCTGTTCTACAGAGCCAGTTGCAGGTGCAAAGGTCATCATCGAATCGGATGCAGAGGAGTTCTTTGAGGGGAGATCACTGGAGCTGAGGTGCACTCTTACAGCTGGAAATCATGTCTCTTACAAATGGCTAGTAAATGGGAAGGCTGTCATACGGTCACCGCTCCACAACGTGGCAAAGGACCAGCTTTTCATCTACAGGTCAACCACATCCCACTGATGGACGACATTTTTGTGTGTCTGAACGAAGCAGTATGTGACAAAATGAGTTGAGCTGTAATGATGTGTGTCACCCTCAGAACCACCTCTGCAGACAGCGGCGTATACATGTGTGTCGCTACTAATCACTACAACACAACGAGAATCTTTACATCCGATAGCCCTGAAGTGAAAATCACTGTCAAAGGTGAATTCACTTGTCATTCAATGTACAAAGTATAATTTTTAGAGGAAAATATAATTAGTTTTTAAAACATTTATTTGACTGATTATACCCCATCAAGGGAAATGTCAACTTAACCTCTGCTGTGTATTTTGTGTGGCACATTACACATTGAACCAGAATGCAGGTATGCAAAGAGGGATGAGCGACGGTGTGCAAAAAAACTGTGTTGCACTTCTTGAACGAGGGGATGTGGGAGGGTCGTAGCCATGTCTTTTAATTGGCAGCAGGACTCAAACCATGAGTGTGTGTCTCACCTTCATATTGTTGTAGGTCAGAGGCAAATGTTGCACCCAATTGTGTGCATGCTTTTTTTCCTCAAGTGTCATTTATATTCACCACAGACAACTGATTCAATTATTTAAATAATGTTTGTATATGAACATTACGACGTATTGGGACACTTCCTTGGCTGATTTAAAAAATTTTCAACCCTCAGTGTACTGACTGCAAATGAATGGTGTGTGTGTGTGTGTGTGTGTGTGTGTGTGTGTGTGTGTGTGTGTGTGTGTGTGTGTGTGTGAAGGCATCACTTGCAAATTTAACTATACACCCCTTTGCCTTACCCCTCAAATAGGTAGATTACAAAATCTGCACTTGATGTTTAATTTCACACATGATGAATGGCGGATACTCTCGGCATTATAAAATGGAGCACTGCAGCTTTCTAGGAATATTGTCAGACTGGATTTCTTTGGATTGTATTTTAAGAAACCCTATTTCCACATCTTCCCTCAGACACGGTGTCCGACCCTGACATTTCTTTCAAGGTGCTGAAGGAGAATTCCAACTATTTTGCTCTGGTCACCTGCCAGTCAACCAGAGGGACGCTGCCCGTCAGCTTTTCTCTCTACAACAGAACAGAATTGGCTTTCAATACAACAGTTGAAGCGAGAAAAGTAAACTTCAAGGTTCCATTGGTTTTGGACAGACACTTGGGATGGCTCCAGTGCCGGGCCAATAATGGCGATCAGGTTGCACACAGTCGGCGGTTGCCCTTGCAAGTTGGTAGGTTTGTTTTGCAAGGTGCTGCCAATACTGCGAGACCGACCCCTGTTAATGTCCCTCTATTTGTCTATTATTAACAGTGAGGGTCGGTGGGCCAGTGATGATGCACTACGACTACGAAATTGGACAAAACTATGCTGTGATTGGCCTGAGGTTCTACTGCAAGGCAACAAAGGGATCTCATCCACGGTACCGGTGGTTCCTCAACCAAACTCTTCTCCAAGGTCGAGGAAGCTTTTACCACATGGTCAATCAGCCACCGGACCAGTCCATCCTCCTGGTGTCCGTCGGGAGTAGCAGTGCAGGGACGTATCATTGTGAAGCGTCAGACATCTTTGACAACACCACTGCCATCAGCAGCCAAAAGCAGTACATAGACAAAAAGGGTAATGTCATTCCAGTCATCCTCCTGCTTGGATCGAATTGAATGTTTTTGATCTCTTTTTCGGTCTTCTTCTTGTCGCCCTAGTGCTCAATCGTCTCCCCGTTTCTGTGGTGGCCGTTGTCTTTGGATGTTTCACTTTGTTGGTTGTTCTGGTCTCTTGTTGTTGTTTCGTTGGATTGTTTTTTAGTAAGTCCACAATCAGTCAAAGATGTTTGCTTTTTTAATTGTTTTTCTTCTTCCAGAGTTGGTAATGATTTTAACTCTTCTTGCAGGGAGAAGAAAGAGTGGAGAGGAGTCCTTGTGAGTTCCAGTTGTTTTTTTTTTTTTTTAACCAAAATTGTTGCCCAATCTAAATGTATTCATAGCACACATTTAAAACCAAAGGTCTTAATCCATCATCAAATAGGAAGTTGTTGTTTGATCTATGTCTAACTTTAATCTGGCACGCATTGGTATGTCTTCTCCAGAACCTCTTTCAATTCTGAATCAATAAAATATGCAGTCGTCCCAAATTTTAAACACAAAACAAAATAACAAATGCTAGCCAATCATCTGCAAGTTTAAAGTAGATTTTTAATTATTTGGTTTTTACTTTTATCTCGCAGGGTGAGCCAGGAGACAGAGAAATTTGCTGCATACGAGGATGAGCTGGTTTGTCAGATTTCTGGATCTTTGTATATGTGTATATCTTCACAGAGGCTGATCACATGGAGATGTCAAGCATGCCATTGTATTTGCTAAAACTACTCCCTAAATCTACGCTTGCAGGCAATGTCAGAGTATCATGAGGACAGTGATGTCGTAAGGTCAGCCAGATGTGATGAATTAGATTGGGTAAGAACAAATACAGTTACAATAAAAAGTATGAAGTGTGAACCCTCTGGAATAACCCAAATTTCATTTCACACACCAAGTGAAAAATGTTAGTCCATGGCCAAAAGGTATGTGAACACGTCAGCTAGTGCTTTCTTCAAAAGCTGAAAGGAGTCTGCTACCCAACTGTCAAATCAATGTAATAAGATTGGAGGTGTTGTTAAAGCTGCCCTATTAAAAAAAAAATCACTAGCTTTGAGCTTCCTATTCTCATGGAGCATTGCCCAATGCCCAATTGCCATGAACATTCGTAAAACCAAAAATTGTCAACTGGCACAAAGCTTGAAATGGTTCCAAAAGTATCTCCAAAAACCATAATTGTTCATCAGTCCATGCGAACCGAGATTGTTAATGAAGAAAGTTCGGCACTATTGCTACTCTCCATAGTAGTGGTAGCCTATAAAAGCAAGATTGAGGTGACACCATGATTTGGGTCTGTTTAACTCCTTCAGGGCCTGGAAGCATTGCTATCATCTCTGGGGAAAAATGAATTCCCAAGTTTATCAAGATATTTTGCAGGAGAAATTAAGGCCATATGAAGTCTAACAGGAAAAACAACCCAAATCACAGCAGTAAATTAAGAACTAAATTGCTTCAACGGAAGAGTCTTCTGGAGTCTCCCAATCAGAGTCCTGACCTCAACGGGATTGAGATGCTGTAGCATGATCTCAAACGTGTGATTCACACCAGACATCCCAAGAATATTGATGAACTGAAACGTTTTGTACAGAGGAATGGTCCAACATTTGTGCAGCTCTGAAGAACAACGACAGAAAACGTTTGTTAGAGATTATTTCTGCAAAAGGAGGCTCACACAGTTATTATAGGTTGACACACTTTTGCCACCCTGCACTAGGGATGGTTAAATGTAGTGGTCTGGAAAAACGTGAATATATGTCATTGTTTCTGTGGTGTTAATTTCAGAATACTCTTTATTTGTTGTGACTTGGATGAAGATCAGGTCACAATTTATGACCAATTCAACTATAAAACCAGGTAGAGTAATTCCAAAGGGTTCACCTAAACAAACCAAGTGTCCTTTTGAGTTAGCGAATGTGTGTTGTTTTCAGGAATCACAAACTTCTGAAGATGATGAGATCTGATGAGCCCTGAGAGAGCAAACTGCTGTTTTTTCCTAGGGTTTTTTTCGCCTTTTTTTTTTCACAACAAAGTGTTAGCTCAAGGGAACGTGTGCTTCAGCGTCAAAAGGATCCGGATTTGAATGTTAGCTCAGGCCTTTCTCGGTGGAGTCAATTGGTATGTTAAGCCTGCTTTTGAGGGTGCGGTGTAGTAAAGTATGAAGTGCCCAACATCCCCCGCCGACCAAGTGCCCCCCTATCGGATGTGTTCTGGCACCCATAAACTTCTGATCCTCTAATCGCCCCTGGTGGAGCCACAGGGTAAATTATAATAATGGCAAACAAAAATAATTTTGTTGGGCCTTGGGCACAAAATAATGGTGTCCTACAAACTCCTAACAGCAACAAGTTGTTCGCACAAATGTGTCCATGTGACCATAAAACAGAATTAGAGCTGTTTTGTTCATGAGGGTAGCTGTTTGCAAGCAGACAGGGACCATTTGTTGTCTCTCTGTCACCTTAGCACATTATCTCTAACGGAGAAATGGGAAAGAAATGAAAATTCTGATCTCGCAGTAGCAGAGACTAGCAGAGGCAGAAACTAATCTACATATTTTTCCTTTAGAGGTTTGCCACATTGCCGTGTGTCGCATAGCAGAGTTCATACGGCTTGATCATTACTACAATATATTGCCTGAAAAAACATGTGCATGAGTCACACCCGCTAATGGAGCTTGGCTCATGAGTTAGATGCAATTGTGAGATGTTTGCAACTGCACTGATGTATATGTACTTTACTGTAAGCACTAAGCAGAAAAGTTTGTGTTTGTCACTTTGTGGTGTGAAACTGTAAAATAGTATCAGTGTGTCATTAAAAAAATGTCTGAACATAATCCTGTTTTTAAAAATGTATAAAAATATGCTGCACACAATATGGGTATGGATGGAAGGAGGATGGATGCAGATCATATACAGTGCTGTTTATGAGGAAGAACGGTCTAAGTCAGTGGTTCTTAACCTTGTTAGAGGTACCGAACCCAACCACTTCATATGCACATTCACTGAACACTTCATTAGTGAAAAATAAAAATGTGATTTTTTTTTGCAAATGCATATATTAAAAACATAAAAAAAGTAAACACAATTAGTAGAAGTATAAAGTATATGTTTTTTAATTGTGCACAAAATAAACCAGCCAGTGATGGCCAAGCGGGCGTGTCATAACTACCGGTAATTGACATGTTGACTCCGATGGTCTTCACCTCCATGGCAGAGGCTCTGTCGAACCCCTGAGACGGATTCACCGATCCCAGTTCAAGAACCACTGGTCTACGTGTTTATATGTGAGCTTTTTTTTTTTTTTTTTACTTTTCCCAACACTTTTTGGAACTGGAACAGATTTTCAGTATGGGACGTTAATATTGTAGATTTTTAATTTCAGTTTTTTTTCAAGCTACATTTTCAAATTAAAAAAACTTCTTATGTAGCTGGTGCGTGAACTGCCTGACCAACTGGCCTCCAGTACTTTGTGTTCTTGGGGCAATGAATAACCGAAGGGCCCATTTGAAAAACCTTCTTAGTTTCCGAACGATCCGAGTGAAGCAGTGCGCTCGGAGTGCATTTCCGACGCATACACGACGAGGAACGCAGATGATTTTTTGGGGGGTCACAAGACTAATCTTAATGGTCCTGTTTTTATTAATAAAACGAATTTCCCCTGAAAATGACATTTTTTTTCACTGGTCCGACTTTGAAAGAAGAAAAATAGCATGAAAACCAGCAAAATAGCGAGATAAAACTCCAAGAGATTAAGTTATGGTCACAAATGAAAACCTCACGACAAAGTGAGGCCGCAATAACCGAACCTCGAAGTAACGAGGGATCACTGTAGTATATAGTTGACAGCAAAAATTCATTTTTTCATACACAGAGCTTGTACTTTAAATGCAGGGGCAGTTAAATCTATCCATTTTAAGTCTTTTCAATTTCAAACAAAAGTGTATTACCCGTGTGCAGACGTTAAATGAAAATCAATATAGTGGACAGTAGAGGCGCAAGACGTCACGCGCTTCCTGCCCTCGGGCACCGGTGTGGACAAATCTCCACCCCGTGTGACTGCAGCTCAACTCCTCTTGACGGTGTCAAATCAGGCAGCGCGGTGGAATGCAGGAGGCGGTATTTGCTTGTAGCACTCAAGACTCCGGACGAGTCTCCCACCGCCTTAACTCGCGACTGAAAGAGGGAGTTGCTTGTCAAAGGGGACAGATATGGAGGACACCGGAGCCACTAGTGCGTACGGGGTTTCGCTCCCCGGAGGAAGCGTGGACGTTATAAAGTTTGCCCGGCAACCGCAAACCATTGTGCGGCTACTGAGCTGGGTGAGTACAGTACTTGGATGTGGGGGGGAAATGGTATGCAAGGTCCAGAGGTTGACAAAAGGAGGAGGAGAATAGTAGCCGAACAGGTGCAGCCGTCCGCCCGCCCGTGGAGCTGCCAGGGTGTTTTTTTTTTACGACTTAGCTTAGCTCGGAATCAAGCGCAAGAAAGCGTCCTAAGAGGCGTCAAGTTGCAAATGCAGCTGTCGGGTAACAGACAGCACATGCACCCTAAGCACAAAAAGGGTTTGCTTTTAAATGAAACAAAGTTGGCTAACAATGATTAGGGAGCCATTGCGTGTGCTGTCAACTGTTTCAGTTGGATCATTATGTAATTCTTAATTATGTTATGCTCAAGTGTTGTACAGGTACTCACTTTGCAATTAAAAGTAGAAGTGCAGATACGTGCGTGAAAAAAAGATTGATTCAATTGCTGCACTTTAAATAACAACTAAAAATGATGGACTCTGAGATGTACTAGTAAAAACCCAAATAATATTGGCACGACTTTTCTGCCATTAAAGCGTGTTCACATAGATTGGATAATGAAAAATACAAACTTTGCAAAAGGTAACAATTGAAAATGTACAACTAAAGCTACCTGACCATCAGAAAACTTTGGAAAGATTTGGAAAAGACCCTTGGATGTGATCATCTCACACCTACTCACATTTTGACAACAACACCCCCCCCACACCCCACCCCTTTGTCCATGCAACTCATGATTGCAAAGTTTCTGTTTCCAATTTTGATAGATCTCATCTATAGGTTGTTGGTTGTATTACATCACAGCAAAGACTGAAAGACTTTTGATATTGTTGGAAGGCCAATATGAGGAAAAGACTAATCTAAAGTAGTTGAGACTACCACTTTACACGAAACAACTGAGATGACGGTAGTAACGCTGTGACTCCGGAAAAACTCCAAAATGTCCTTCTGACTCTCAGTTTTTGGTTTGAGGCTGTGAAAATCCTAGCATTACTCAACAATAGATTTTTCAGCATCAAAAGCTTGTGGTTTTTACAAGACACATCATATTAGCCACAAATCATTCTTGTACAGTCAAACCTCGGTTTTCGACCATAATCCGTTCCAGAAGGCTGTTCGAAAAGCGATTTGTTCGAAATCCGAAACTATTTTATTAGCCCATGATTAGGCGCTAATACACGATGCAGAAATAACAACAACAACAAAAAAATCAGTCAGATTTGCGTAAATCACAACAAACACGTCTGCTCACAATGAACGTTACACGCAGTTGGAGGTCCTAACAATCACAAGTTAACCACATACATACATATACATATATGTGTATACATGTATATATATATATATATATATATATATATAATAACAGACACGTTCAAAAACCGAGGTTTGACTGTAACTGACCAAATCAAACAGTTCTCTTAAAGGGGAAGTAAGCTCCAAATTTTCTTTACGTTTTGTTATGTTCTATGCAGCCCCACTCACCTAAACACGACATTCTGATTAATCTTGCTGCTCAGGTGAGCTGTGATTGGTTGTTATCTGGGCCCTGAGCAACTGTGATGTAATTTTCAGTCGACGGCATGAGGCAAAATGGCCACCTCCTAGGATGGCTAAAAACAGTGGATTTTGTTGCTTAACTCATAATCCACAAACACGATATTAATCAGAATGCTGTGTTTAGGCTAGTGACATTGCATCGAACATGTTGTGAAGAAAATTTTGGGGTTGGCTTCTCCTTTAATTAATTTAGTGGATGGGGAATATCATACTCTGTTGCTGTTGTGTTGTCTCTTTCTTTTCTTTCCTCTGCAGCAGTTGAAAATGGTAATGAGCCTATTTTGACAAAGTAAGGAGTAGAAAGTTCAGATCTGTTGCCAAATGTGGGAGTAAGAGTAAAAAGCTGTCATGTAAAAGAAATTCGAAATAAATTACTAAGACCTGAAAAAGGTACAGTAACGAAGTATTCTTACTTGTTTGCTTCCCTCACATATTTTACAGGAGAAAAATCTCATGGCACACCACCGAACACAAATGTCACCAAAAATTATACATACTGATGAAATGATGATCTCATCTCAATTTACTCACTTATTTTACTCTAAATTATGCCACTTGTGATTATTCTTTTTTTTTAGCCTTTTTGTTTTGTTTTTATCAGTGGTTTGTCAGTCAAAGACGAAACCTGCTAAAACAGCATTGTTAAAGTGTGCTCCAGATAATTGGACTCAAGCAGAGAGACACTTGGGCTCTCATTGGGGGAAATAAAGGTGGCTTAAAAAAAAAAAAGTCAAAAAGGTGATCAACCCAAATGAATATGTTCTTGCCAAGGAATTTGTCCTGATGACCCCCGACTGGCATTCCCTTGCGCCCCTGATGAAAGCACACTTGTGTTGTATTGCTTTATGTCAATATTCTTATTTTAATTTTTTTATTTCTTACAAGTGGCCTGACAGGTGCGCCATTTGTGTCGTTGAAGCTGAATGCACATTTGAACCAGGAAGCTGCAAATTAATTGCTCGCACCAGGATCAATAAAGTCCTCTGAATCTGAATCAAAAAAGTTTTCTGACTCTGTCGGAAATCTGGGCCTGTTTAGTTGAACACAAAGCTGGTATTGACAGGAAGCCACCACTAATTCTGTTGTAGGAAAACAGGCCAACTGGTGGATACACACTTTAGTTCATTTGGTGCTAATAAGTGAAATTACATGATTTCCCCCGGCACACCTGGAAAGGTTCTGGGAGTGTCACACTGCTGATCAGTTGTTTGAACTTTTTTTTTTTTTTTTTTAAGTCTGTGGTCTGCGTCCTATTATAGAAAGTCCCAAATTAACCACAACCTGGCAAGCAAAATAATGCATGCTGTCTTTACCCTGACTGATGTGAGGAAGCAGGTTGTAGGATTAATGTTTGAACTATTCCGAGAACTTTCATTCCAACGCCATCTGTCCTCGGCTTGCTCTCTGAAGTGAATTTCACAGACTTGTGACACCAAGTTAAAAATGTTACCCATGGTGGGTGAGGACAGAATGTGCTTGGAGCTGCGGGTATACATGTGTGCATGTGTGTTTGTGTGCATGGGGATACCTTCAGTAGTGTGTGTGTGTGTGTGTGTGTGTGTGTGTGTGTGTGTGTCACTTGTAAACAGGAGATTTCTTGCAGGTAAGATGATATCTCTGCCTGGCTAAACCTCCCTTCCAGTTTATGTCTCATCTCTTTCTCACACATGCACATGCAGACGCACACGCACACACATATACACACACACACACACACACACACACACACACACAAGGAGACCTTTCACCTGCAAGTTTTCACAAAATCTACCAGTTGGATTCCATTATTAGTGCTAATTTTCTTTTTACTTTCAGTGAGTTACCAAATTCATTCTTCTACTGGCAGTAGGAGAATTGTTTGCTCAGCCTACACATCCCACAATGCACTTGTGGGGATGTGTAGGCTTCCCACAATGTCGCCATATCTGTTTGTTTCATTGACCAAGACTTGAATACTGAAATTTACAGTAATCGTGCAATTAAGGAGGGGGAAAAAAGATTCTATCTCA